AAAAAAAAAAAAAAAAAAAGAGGTTAAAAACATGAATAAGAAAAAAAATGGCAGCTCGGTACGCAAAGCATTACACCGCAAGGGGTGTAATGTAGATATTAGTGGTTGTTTTCACGGCTCAAACCCGTGACCAATAGGTCACACAGAGATAACTTTATTGTTGCTCCAAGGCTCCCCTTCTATGACAAAAAGTTATGATGTCTATATACTAACAGTTTAAAAGTATTTTTTACACTATCAGATTATTTACATGTAACTAACCACAATAAATGGAATTAGTAGATAGCATAACATGTCAATACACTGTCAGTGGATATAAGTTACATACTTTAAAGAAATAGTAATTTGGTATATTTGTATAAAGACAGGTTAATTCACAGGGTAAATGAAGAAGAGAACAAGCTTGGCATATCAAATGCTTTTTCTCAAGGTTTATGGACACTCTCTGCTGATCAATATGCAGAATGGAAAGAAATATGCAAAATTATTTTGAGATCATTTCAACTATATGCCTATATATCACATAAAATGAAATATGCAAAGAAATGCTAAATCAAGTCCCGGAAAATGTAAGTAGGTTACCATATGTACAAAATGCAAGTAGGTTGGCCTGGTGTCAATTGATTTGAGCCTTGGGGTTTGCTCCCTTTCAAGGTCTCAAGTTCGAAATCCACTGGGTGCAAACAATTTATGAGGGCCATCGGACTGGGTAAAACCTGAATTAACCGTGGTGCACTTGCGGAAAACTCCTTGCCGAGGGCCTGTGCACCCCCGGGATTAGTCGGGGCTCAAAGAGACTTGGACACCCGGTGCAAATCAAAAAAAAAAATGTACAAAATTGTCATATATAGGCACTTTAGCAATTCACCTTACATAATATTCATGTGGTGCCACTTAAAAGTAACGAAAAATCCAGTTTCCGACCAACCTAATACCCGAAGGTTTTCACCATGTGGCACATCATGAGTTTTCTTTAAGGGTCAAAATATGATTTTTTTTTTTTTTTATTTTTTTTTAAATAGAGTTGCGTGAATATTATGTAAGGTGAGTTGCCGAAGTTGTAACTTACTTGTGTCTTGGGGACCGAATTTAGCATTTTGAGGCATTTCTTTTGTGTTTCAAGTGATACAAAGACATAGTTGAGTTATTTTTTTATTACAAAAAATATTTTTATAACTTTATTGCAATAAACTAAAAGTTGGATGACTATCCGTGAAATTAACCCAAAACTATCCTTCATTATCTTCTCTCCACCAGAAGAAGGGAAATTGATCTCATTAAAAGCATTCTATCTTCCTTTCCTTACCATGCAAATCTCTAGTTTCTTGTTTGCTTCTTACATATAGTTAGCATTTATACTAACAACTATATCCAGATCCCTTCTTCACCCAATTTCAGAGTAAAATTCACATTGGAGATAAGGAAAGGTGGAGGACCAAGGAGTCAATTTTACCTCATGGACATTGGTAGTTGTTGGAAGAACAATGGCAAACCTTGCGATGGCGATGTCACAACAGATGTCACGAGATGATCATAAATCCTGCTATAGACTCATGGTGCAGTCTGAATAGCCTAAGGTCATGTCCTCCTTACCACACCTTCTCTAATGGGACTCGTGTCTATCGATCCGACAGAAATAACTTCCCCTATGAGGCTTATCACTACTACTGTTCTCCAGGAAATGCTGAAAATCTTGAGGAACCTTATAACTTGTGTGATCCATATAGCAACCCTCAACCTCAGGAAATTCTGCAGATTTTGCCTCATTCAGTTTGGGGAAAATATGGATATCCAACAAAGAAGGGTGAAGGCTGGATAGGTGATCCTACAACATGGGAACTTGATGTTGGGAAACTTTCAGAGTCCCTTTACTTCTACCAGGTGACTAATCTAAGCAAAAGATCTAATTTGCAAATGTAGCAAAAGCATATTTTGTTGGGAAAAGGTCCACTTTGTCTTTGTACTATTCGTAATTGAGCAACTTTGCCGCCTGTTAGACTTTTGGTCCTTTCATACCGTTGTCGTTAGGAAAAAGTCTCATATTTGCCCTTGCCATTAACGTAGCTCCAACTTTAAATGGGTGGACTCCAGGCGTCCGAATTATTTAGAAACAAAGTCCAAATTTACCCCTCAAGTTTTTTTTAATGGTTTAAAATTACCCTTAGGTTAGAGCTCTGCTAGAAGTCAAGGGCAAAAACGAGACTTTTCCCTAACAACGGGGTAAGATTTGACCAAAAATCTAACGAAGGACAAAGTTGCTCAATTAGATTGACAAATTTGACCCTTTTTTCTGTTCTGTTTAAGGATCCAATCTCACTGAGTGACTTTGTGATAATGCAGGATCCTGGTGCTCCACCAGCCAAGAGATATTGGCCATCCATTGATTTAGGTACAGAGATTTTTGTCAGTGGCAACGAATATGCAGAATGGACAGTTAGTGACTTTGACATCATTGTTCCTAGTGTCAAATGATTTCAGAAACTCTTTCAAGAGTGTCAATATAAGGAAGCAGAAAAAAGGATTCTAAATGACTGAGTTCTAAATTCTCAATTATTTCCTCAAAATGATGACAAACAATATAAGTCCTTGGATTTCCTTTGAGTACTCATGTCACAGCCAACTTGACACATTGAGTACTAGAAACAATTTGAATTAGATGCACGACAACAAGGTTTGCTCAAGATTAACAGGGAAAAAGGAAAGCTTCCAAATGGATAAAAGGAAAGCAGAGAAAACGAGATTGGAGTTGCAGTTGAATGTTAGCAACTTCATTCAAGTGATAAAGGTTCAAATATAACATGTTGAGAGTCTTCTGTTATTGCTTCCACGCCCTATTCACGGTATCACTACCCCAAAACATTTAAGGGAAAAAAAAAGAACAAAAATGTCATGCAATGAAGTAAAAGGTGGTATGAAGAACAACAATTTTATTCATTAATAGGATCAATAGTGCAGTAGCTAGAGACTAAAAATTTACAGGGGCATAGATACTAACTCAGCACGGTAAACTGAACTAAAAATGCCTAGTTTTCACAAAGAGACCCTAACTAGATATCAGCGTGATGACCGTGTAAGAAATTCCACCTCCAATCACTGGCGAACTGCTTGGTAAAATGAACATGCATACCTTGAATCGTTGTGTCTTCTCAACTCAAAGGTGGACTTCCTCCATTGAAAGAACGTCAGCGTACGGTCTGCTAAGTCAGACTACACCAAATTGCGTTTGTGCCTGCAGTAGTTTTGCATCTATTGCAATTTGACCACGCAACTGTGCTACTTTTTCTTGTGTCTGATAATACGGGTTGGTGTTCATCTCAACATTCACGCTTGCTGTTGGTTTGGCAACCATGCCTTTTGCAGCTCCGTCTCTAACTTGTGTGGTGTCCTTGGCTTCTGTACCATCCTTCTCTCGAATCTCAGGGTTCATCCTGAACATATAATGTGGAGAAATGCCATGAGCAAGGAAGGTATTCTGGGTATGTACGCCTCCATCATATGATAAAATTGGCCCTACAACTCTCCCAGGTTTGGCTGAAAAGGATAGAAATGGTTATCAGAGAAAAATCCAACAAACATGTTGTGAACAAAGTCCTTCACAACATATTTCATGCAATATATGTGCATTCATCAAAGGGTCCGAGCAGACATGATCAGGGGCGGAGCTAGTGGGTTTGGTCGAACCTAGTAACTTTGGTCCAACCCTTTGTTTGTCTTAAAAATGCATTGAATGTATATAGATTATTAAATTAGAACCCACTAACTTAAATGACTATAATTTCGAATCGATAAACTTCAAATCTTGGCTCCGCCTCTGGACAAGATCATGTATGATCTCCACTCCGGGGAAGTAGGGTAAGTTTAAGAGGCTTTTACCATAGTTGAGTTGCAATTTTCAAGCTCGTTACACATGGTGAAATAATTGACTTTGCTCCGATGATGGGCATTACCAAACATCACATCGACCGCTAGAGCACTAAACAGTAAATACATGTTTAACTGTACCTGTAGGAACTCGATGCGGTGGCCGTGAAACGTTTTGTGTAGTTCCTGAGATTGTCTCTGAGACTCTGACATCAGTAGCTGCTTTTTCTGTTACTTGCCTATGATCAAACACAGAGAAGTTCTGCCGAGCTTTGGGGGGAATGGTGCTGGAGTTAACCGTAGATCTGCACATATTTAGGAACATATGTGATTAAGCAAGAAGGGAATCGGATCATGCTTTCAAACAACAGTTTTTCCCACTATGTAGAATAATTAATATTTCCACGAACCCGAACAGTTGTATAGGTGAAAGAAACCAACAAGATTGACAAAATGAATCCTGTATAATCTTACCGTGGGAGAGAGACATGCTTTCTACCAAGAGGAATAACTGGCCCACTTTTACCACTATTTTCCTCAAGATAAGCAAATTGCCTTCTGAACTGACCACTTGCACTGCAAAGGTAAACAAGTTCCACAAAGTTAATTAACAAACTGAGATTACATCGATTATGCTAAATGAAAGTATAGATAAGCATGGAGTTAAGGAGCTTGTTTGAACCTAGGATAGAGAAAGTTGGTGCCATCATTTCCAGCTATGTAATCCTTCTGAAGTTGAGGATGATATTCCAATATCTCTCGATAAATTAGTTCCTTAATATCCTCCTTTGTTACCCTTCGCTTCTCAAATTCAAATTCCAGATTCGAGATTGGTCGACAAGAAGGTTCCCTCTCAATCTTGGCCAGTCCCTTGAAATAAGGATCGGATAAAGCCTAAAGGGAAGGAAGGGGGAGAACCAGTGGAAGCGAATTTAGAACCAACTACTAAAGCGAGATAAGGATAAGAATAGAAAGACACCATTTATGCTTATGTTAAAATGATGGACATAGTAGGAGGCACAATTACCTCTTCAGCAGTTGGTCGGTCCTTTGGATCAAATGCTAACAACCTCTGCAATAGTAGGAGCACCAACGGATCTGCATCTGGAAATTTCTCAGTAAAAGGAACTGGGTTCTTTTTCCGCATGCTATTCAAATACTTTCTTGCCTTCTCATTACGAACCTGCACCCAAGAGAGGATACTCCTCTATCAATATGTTGCATAATAAGGCTGAAATCCAGTCATCACAGAAAAAACAAATAAACTGACGGTTTTTACCCCAGATATTGTATCAGCTGGCGGCGTACCAAGAAGATCAGTCATCAAATCTAACTGATGAACAATACTTTTTCCGGGGAACAATGGTTTTCCTGTTAGTACCTCTGCGAAAATGCAGCCAATACTCCAAATATCAATAGCAGGTGTATACTGCAGGAATGCAAAAAAATACAAACATTTAGCAAAAAATCTGTAAAACCCTGGCGAAAAATTAGCCCAGGACCTGACACAGTTTACCTGAAGAATAGACAATTCAACTTCCAGGAAAGTTCAATGGTCCTCCCTGAACAAGAACGGTTTTAATCTACAAATCACTCTTTAATACACTTACAATGTATTGACTATATAAAACTGGTATTCTAACCAAAAAGCCACAGCTTCTAACAGTATCAGCACATCATATGCTGCAACAAGAGTGAACAAGTAACTTTTCACCTTTCTATAGCTATTCCGGAAAAAGAGCCTATCCATGATACCACGGGTGGAACCAGATAGAGTGAAGGAGGTTCGAGCAAACCCCCTTCGTAGGAAAATAATACAATGTAAATAGAGTAAAACTGATCTTTTTTGGTTACATGTAAGTTGTTGAATCCCCTTGACATGAAGAAAAATTCACGTTAGTAGTAACGGGTGTTCAAAATTGCTTTAGGTCATAGGTTCAAATTCCAATGGTGACATCCTACAATTTTTTTTGAATCCCCTTGTATAAATTTCTGGTTCTGCCACTGAACTGATTATACCTCAATGGCATCAGAACCAACAAAATTTGGCAAAACAATTATTCATGTCAACGTTCTACTTCAACTAATTACATCCAAGGGTAAGTGCATCAAAAACTTGAATACAGAATGACCAAACATGCAATCCTAAGATGGTTCAAACAAATGAAAAGCAAAATTATTCACGTCAACGTTCTGCTTCATCTAATCATATCACCATCTTTGGTGGTGGTTCTCTTTTTTCCTTGTCCAAGACCTCGAGGATGGAGGTATCGGAAAGGATATAGGGCATCTTGACACATGAAATAAACACCCACCCACTACGAAACTACTAAATAGAATATAAAGCAGCACGAACTACCTTGGAAAAGAAAGATCCACATAATTCAGGAGCCCTGTACCACCTTGTAGCAACATAATCCTGCACGGTCAGAAGATAAAAGGTCAACAAATTACATCCAAATAAAATGCACTTCAAGTTAGTAAAGTTTACCCGATTTCAAGAAAAAATTAAAAAGATGTAAATGACATTGACGGCAGATGGGACAAAGATATCAAGAAAGCATACCGTCCAAAGTACTGTGGTTGGAGTATCACTGAATGCAACCCTTGCCAATCCAAGGTCACATATTTTGAGTTTACAATTTGCATTTGCCAATATGTTTTTTGGCTTAAGATCTCGATGGTAGACATTTGCTGAACAAACAAATACAAGTCAGACACAGAAAATAGTGAATATTCATACCAGCTCAGCGCCATCGCCGTGAAGCCAAAATAAAAAAGGACTACATTAACACATTCACAAGATAATTTACCTGTGTGCATATACTTCAGTGCCCGTAGCATCTGATATAGGAAAAAGCGATGGTGTTCATGTGTCAAGTCATCATTAGCTTTAATGACATGGTGAAGATCAGATTCCATAAGCTCAAAAACAACGTAAATATCTCTGAAGTCTCGTCTTGAAGGTGGTAACATGATTCGCTTAATGTCCACGATATCAGGATGCCTTAAAAGTCTAAGCAATTTAATTTCACGCAAAATTCGAATTGCATCAGACGTGTGCTCGAAAATATCAGTTATTTTCTTTATTGCCACTTTTTCTCCGGTATGGGTGTCGATAGCAGCACATACAACTCCATAACTTCCCTTCCCGATTACTTCCAGAATTTTATACCTAGTTGCATCTCCATACTCTGTAAAAAACTCCACTTCTTTGGTATTCTGAAAAATCATTGAGAAAAGTCAGTACAGTTGATATTCTCAAACTATACTTTCACAAGGTTGCTTTTTTCATTTCTAAGAAGCAAAAATAACAAAATCCAAGAACCATTTTTGGACTAATATTCAAGGGTAATACCAGCTAGAGATTTATCAGTGTTAAATAACACCAAAAAAATAGAGGACTAGTTAAGTGATTAACCTCAACTTCCAAAAACAAAAGCATTATGATTTCCCTGGTGAGACTAGGAAAAACAAGTCTCATAAGTGGCAATTTACCTGATTGTCTCCTCCCTTGCCCCAACAACCTGATATTCTCAAACTATACTTTCACAAGGTTGCTTTTTTCATTTCTAAGAAGCAAAAATAACAAAATCCAAGAACCATTTTTGGACTAATATTCAAGGGTAATACCAGCTAGAGATTTATCAGTGTTAAATAACACCAAAAAAATAGAGGACTAGTTAAGTGATTAACCTCAACTTCCAAAAACAAAAGCATTATTATTTCCCTGGTGAGACTAGGAAAAACAAGTCTCATAAGTGGCAATTTACCTGANCGGGAATAGTGTTTAGCAATGAAATTTTCAAATTTCAGGGATTTTTCGAAAATTTGAAAAACTACAAAAAACTATTATTCAAAATTTTCGCTTCAAATCACCCAGAAAAATTCAAAAACAGCCCCAGATTGTATTCATGTCCAAATACAACTCTAATTTTCAATACCATTTTCACTTGAATTTTTTTTTTTTTTTTTTTTTTACTTTTTTCCGGAATTTCACAATTCTTATGTTTGGAAAACATTTTCCTTCATCCAAACACATCCTATAGCCCTAATATAAAGCTGTTTTCTTTAGCAGCAATATGGACAATTGAAAATGAACTTAATTAGTAAAACAAAAAACTTATGCTTCTTAAAATCATCTGGACTGACCGAAGAAAACTGACCAGAACTCAAGAATACCAACTAACACAAAAACCCAAAATTTCTTCAGCAAGATTCAGTTCAATTTTACTTTGTGCTACTTAAATTCAATTCATGCAAACATTGTTGAGCTAATTAACACTTTTAAGCTCTTGAAAAGCAAAAAAAATTACAAAAAAAACCCGCATCTTTCTTCAAGATCTCTCCTTTAGTACAACAAAATCAATTTATTTTGTGTGTGTGTGTGTGTGTGTGTGTGTGTGTGTGTGTGTGTGTGTGAGAGAGAGAGAGAGAGAGAGAGAGAGAGAGAGAACCTTTTTGTGATGATGATCTTGTTGCATCTTAACTTTGAGAATTACAACAACCCAGTAAAAGCAATAATCTGAAAATCAAGATTATCACACTACCAACAAAAAACTATAAAGTGAGCAACAAAAAAAGCATAAATTTTGAAAGAAACTGAACAGATAATCAGTAGGAAACAAACCCTTAATGGGTTTTGAAGATCTAATGGAGAGGAGGAGCTGAGAAGAGAAGGGAGAAAAGAGAGGAATTTTGAGAAGTGGAGGGGTCATTTTATAAAGGAAAAAAGTGTGTGGATCAAAAAGATAAAAGAAAACCAAAAAATTTATCCGTTCACTGTGTTTTCGTCGGCTGTTAGCTGTTGGCTTTTGATAGGTACGGAAATTTATACGGCTCTGGCCTTCATTTGAGTTTTTTAAAATTTTGAAAAAATTAACTTTCAAATTCAAATAATAATAATTTACCAAAAACCATCAAACAAAAACATTTTACAAAATTTCAAGTTTCAACAAAAGATTTTGTAACTTATACACTTTTAGTAAAAATTGAAACAAACGTTACCTAAGTTTTTCTCACACACAGATAAATAATAAGTGCAATTTAAGTAGTTATATTGTTATAACATACGTATTATTTAATTGTTATCCTATTAGGCTTATTATGAAAACTAATTGCTTGTCCTTATAGATAAATTTGATTTGACGGTGTAAGAAAATTAATAGATGATTTATGTACATAAATTAAATTCTTCGAAATATTCTTTGAAATTTTCGAATGCTCAAATTATCTATTGTGGTTAAATTAAAACTATAATTTGAATAACACATAAATAAAGACGAAAGGGAATTTTGGAGCAACGATAAAATTGTGTTTGTGTGACCTATAAATTACAGATTCAAACTGTGAAATACTCTGCGTCGGACTATAAACACACAAATAAAGAAATCATACACTTGCAAACATTTCAGATAACAATATATAAATACAAGTCCACTTATTTTAATGAAAAAAGTCTTATTGTTTGTATACTATGTGATTAACGCGTATTTTAAGAACACGTACTCAAATAAACATTTCGGATATCAATATGAAAATACAAGTCTTATTTTTTATAGAACAAGTCCTAATATATGTACATATATAAAAAATTTATTAACTGTATAATCAGAGGTGAACCCAGAATTTGAAAGGGATAGGGACACATAAGCGAAATGTTCAACAAGTGTACCATCAAACTTTTGATCTTAAGGTTACCAACAAAATATATGACCGTTTTTAACCTATATATTCTTGTATATTTAAAATTTTTACCGAAATTAATGGGATCCGATAACCCCTCTTCTCAAAGCATAGGTTCGCTTTTGTATATAATGGCAGAAAGATTGTCAATCGTGCCTGGTCACATAGACCTAATTTTTAAAATTATTTGTATTATTTCATGAAGCATGCCTCAAAGATCATGATAATTATATAGTAGTTAAAAATTAATAAGGTGAATGCATAATTCCTAAAAGTCCAATAATTAATCAATTTATGTTTGGATTTTGGGATGCATAACACAACATCATGATTCTAATTTTTGCTCCCTGCATCCTCGATGTTTCCATGATGTTTTTGTACATTATTGTTGCCTTTATTATTATATATCATGGAAAGTCAATTGCTTATTATTAACTACATTTCTGTGCAAATACACTATATTATAAACCAAGTTCCTACCTGCTAATATATATACACATCAAGAATAAAGGTAAATTCAATAAAATCATTCAACCACCATTAACAATGACATAAAGCCCAACTAATATGGACTTCTTCACCATAATAATTTGGGAATAATAATTCACATATAAAACTTGAAATTAGTCGGATAAGTAAACAAAACATAAAGTAAAATTTATAAATTGCAAAATTAGTTGACTTGTAATTCACTTAATCTTATTTTATCCTGACCCTTGCGCAAGTGCACATTATATCAAACCAAAAGAAACCCACAAATGAGAGGAAGAAAAGTTTAATAATTCACATATTTACTTGTCACTTGTCTATAGTGAGTTAATAAATTCCCCAATAATTGACTCTACTATATTGAGCTTAAGCTGTTCTCTCACCATCAACAACCCATTCAGTATTATCAACAATAAATAAATTAACTTTCTTATGTGATTTAATATTTAGCACATGAAAAATCTTTAATAGTTTTAGTTGGCTACTTGAACTTTCACCTTGTTTGGTGAGAGTTCGATTTCTCATCTTGTAATCCCTTCTTCTATTTCTCTGTTCCTATCCCTTATATAAAAAGGGCAGTCATGTGCATTAAGCTCCCGTTATGCACGGAGTCCGGAAAGGTCGGACCACAAGGGTCTATTGTACGCAGACTTATCCTAGCTATATTTCTACAAGAGGTTATTTCCACGACTTGAACTCATAACCTCCTGGTCATGTGATAACAAGTTTACCAATTACGCCAAAGTTTTTATGCTTCGCATATATATAATAAAAAATCTAAAAAAATATTTGTCACATAAAAATTATAATATAGAAAAAAGTTGAAATGTTAATATCACGTGGCTCTTAAATTATGTGAGGTTCCTTTCATTAGTTGCCAAATCAAGCCGTGGGGGTAGATGGGGTTGGTGTACAGTGCAAATGGATGAATTATAGGTGGGGGCAATTAAAACACTGGTTAAAGTAGATGAATAGAAGATCGAAGAGAGAGGATAAACTAAGTAAAGAGACAGATCACGCGTATTACAAGTTCCAACATGTCTTGCTTTTTTAAAAACAATAATCTAAATAACTGTAATTTTCAGGTCAGTACATCTCGATTAAATTTATTAGGTACTTGTTATTTTTTTACCGAGTAACTCCACCCACCAAGATATAAATATATGAAAAGAAATCATCGAATACTTTTGTGTTACATCATATCTTGCTTAATTCTCTAATATATGTTTTTTTAATATATAGGAGCATTACTTTATAAAGACGAATTCAAACTCAGAGCGAATATGATCTTAATATATATNACCCACAAAATTCGTCATAAATTAGCCAATAATACTTTAAGACCATAATTGTATATAGGTTGTCACAAGTCACGACTTGCCCTTGAAACTATGACTGATATTATGAAACGAAAGTTTGTTGCCCTTGAAATTTCGGGCAAGAATTATATGATATGGGTGTTGGATGCTGAAATTCATTTAGATGCAATGGGTCTTGCAGACGCCACTAAAGATAAAAATAAATCATCTATCCAAGACTGTGCTAAGACCTTGATTTTCTTGCGCCATCACCTTGATGAAGGGTTGAAAATAGAATATCTCACAGTCAAAGATCCACTTGTTTTGTAGAATGGCTTAAAGGAAAGATATGACAACTTAAAGTTGGTCACACTTCTACAAGCACGATATGATTGGGCTCATCTGAGGCTCCAAAATTTTAAGTTTGTTTTTGAATACAATTCTACGATGTTCAGAATTACTTATAAATTGAAACTATGTAGAGATAGTACACTGACTATGATATGCTTGAAAAAACGTTCAAAACGTTTCATGCCTCCAATATGGTCTTGCAACAGTAGTACCGAGAGAAAGGTTTCAAGAAGTACATTGAGTTGATTTCTCTTCTCCTTGTGGTTGAACGAAATAATGACTTGCTCATGAGAAATCATGATAATCGACCCACTGGGCTACACCATTGCCTGAAGTGGATGAGGTGTATTGCCTGAAGTGGTTCTGTTCATGGTCGTGGCCAAAAAAGAAATTTTCCTTGGGTTAATCACCTCCCAAAGAAAAATAACCACGAAAAGTGGAAAGGGAGAGATGAAAAGCCAAAAGTAAAGGGTTCAGAAACTGAATGCTACCGTTGCAGTAGAAAAGGGCATTAGGCAAATATTTGTCGTACGTCAAGACATTTGGTTGAGTTTTATCAAACATCTCTAAAGAATAAAGGCCTTTAAGCTATTTTTGTCTCTGACAATAAATTTGACATCACTCACTTAGATGTGACATAATTCTTTGAGCACCCCAATGAAAAAATAGACCAATTGATCGGTGATGGATCCGTGGTTAAAAATTATTTAGTAGTTTGATTTTTATTTTACCTATTCGTAGTAACTAGTGAATAAATATCATATAATCATAGTTCTTTACATTAGTAGTAACCATTGGTATCAATTAGTATTACTTATTTTATGAAATAGGGTTAGTTGGTTTTGATTAAATAAACTCTGTTTCTAACATCTTTTCAATTGAAAGGTCAATTAATCTCGGGCACCGCCGATTCTTTCCTTTCAAATCTAACTAACTCGCTTTCTCATAATTGGATGTTTCTTATACCATTACAACTTTAATAACTTCTATAAATTTTAAGGAATCAAACTCATTTAATAATCCAAATTCCAATTACTGATGTGATATTTTTGTTTATCATACTTACTTTTCAATTTTACATTGATATTTTCATTTAAATAGTAACAACGGCAGTTTAGAGATGGAGGAATACAAGATGAAACAAATTATTCATTCATTCAAAGTTAAAAGATCACTTAGACTAGGACACCAATTAATCAGATATTACTCATTGTTTGCGAAACTCTCGAGTACATCGGGATCTCAAATCTTTATGTGCATGGATAAAATATTAGGAATAAATTTTGGATTTAAGGCACTAGAAGTGAAAATCCATCCCATTGAATGTGGTAGCAGTATGTGATAAGCCTGAAAGAAGATAAAATTATTACCGTGAAGGTATCAATGAATGTGGACGTGGCAATAGACGAAATTATAATCGTCATCATTATGGTAATGAGAATAATAAAGATTCTCAAAATAATCCTTTACGTTATGAAAGTAATTGTTTGTCATCGATTTGACATGAGATTTTGTAAAACACATTTAGATGATTATGGTTCATTCATGATGTGAATGTGATAATATATAATTTATGAATACATATTCATTATTGGATGAATACATATTCATTATTGGAAGAATATAAACATGCTAATGGTAGTGAATATACCACACTCAACTCTAGAAGAAGGTTTGAGATGAAATAACAAAATAATTTCATTATTATGGCATGAATGATCATTTATCACGTACCTATTGTGATTATGCCAAAATATTATGGCAATGTGATTATTATAGGGCAAAAGTAATAGAAGCCGCATACCTTACCTAAGATGTTTTTGACCATGACCATAATGGTATAACTCTCTCTTTAAAAAATATTCACCAAATAGATGTTGATGAATATATGGTAGCACAAAATTA